CACGCTGGTGGGGCTGCTGCCACCAGGCCTGTTGTTAAGATCAGCCCGAATCTTGCCGATGTCATCGGTCCGCGCGCTGCCCAGTAGATCGATGAGCAGGGCTTCCACGACCACGCGGGGGAAGTGGCCAGGGGTGGGTTCGAGGAGGAAAGGAGGGAAGTGATGGGCGAATTCTTTCCGCGGGGCCTTCGCGAGGCGAGATTTCAGAAACTTCAACGCCAGGTGCAGACTTGGGCCCCCCGCAATCGGCGGATGACTATTGCAGGCGCGCGTGCGCCAGACGGGTCTCGTATTCCTACTCTTGATGCTGGCGCGGACGCTCTCCGCCACCACTGGGCCCGCGTTCGCGAAGAAGCCCCAGTGTCTCCCGAGGCCGCAAGTGAGCTCGCCCCGTGCATCCCCAGGGTCGACCCCGCCGTGAGCTGGAACATGTCCTAGGAAAGGTTCGAGGTGTTGGTCTCCCGGTTTCATGATTGCGCCCCTGGTCCTGGTGGGCCCTGCTATTCAGCATGGAAAAATGGTGGCCCCTTCGTGATGGGCGCCCTCTACGGCCTCCCCCAGCACTCGCAGACTGGAACCCCACTGGGCCCCGAGTTCAACAAAGGCACGATGGTCTTCATCCCCAAAGGCCCCCACGGGCAAGGCCTGGTCAGCTTCTGGAGGTCCCCCGACGATCTGCGCCCCATCACCTTGAGCAGCAGCGACGCTAAGATCTTGGGGTCTGCCATCAGTCGCTCGTTGGCCAACCAGCGTGAGCCAGGCGCCTCGCCCATGCAAAGTGGTTTCGCGCGGGCTCGGCAGATGGCTTGAGTGCAACATGCTCCGCTATGGGGCCCTACAGTGCGTGCGGGAAGCTGGGTGCGTTCTCCTCGATGTTTAAGCTGCGTTTCCAGGCCTGCTCCACGCCTGGGTCCTGTTTGTTTTGCGGACCATGGGTGATCCCGAAACCATATTGTCTGCGATTTCCGCGATGTGCACTGACATGTCGGTGGAGAAGATCCTGTGGGGCAGCGAATTCCAGGGGTCTCCCTATCCGACGGGGAGTGCGCCAAAGCTGTCCGGTGTCAGGTAGCATGTTTGTTTTCTGCCTGGACCCAGTGTTGCAGAAGCTCGCGAACCAGCTGCCATCCCCGATGTCAGAGCTTACCGCGCTCGCTGATGACATTATGTTCTTCTTTCAGGACCTGCATGTCTCTCTCCCCATGCTCCTACGGGTGCTGATCAACAGTGCGTTCGCCACGGGCCTCGTTCTCAACCTCAGCAAGTGTGTCATCATTTGTTTATAGGATGGTCGTGAAGGAGGAGGATGTGAGGAGGTTCGCCGAGCACGGGGTAAGGGTCCGAAGTTTCATGATCCAGAGTTGGGGGAAATACTTGGGCGTGATTCTGGGAGATGATGGTTGGAACAGATATTGGGTAGCCCCTGTGGCTAAATGTCTAGACAGGTGTCGACTCATCAGTTCGATGGGAGGTGGGTTGGGCCCTTCGCTCGTCGCCTACAAATCGATTGCGATATTCGCTATGTTATGTGGTGGGTCGTCCTTTTAAACCAATAAGCACACCAGCGATGCCGAGAGGGACGGGCTTCAGCGATTGACTCGCAACGCCATCCCGGATTTCATGTTGCAGCAGCTCGGCGACGTCCTGTCATTGGGCAACAGTGCACGCGTGCAGGAGCACGAGTCCCGAGCCGCTCGTTACCGCAATGCTGTTCGTTTTCCCAGGTTCTGGGAATGCAAGCAGGATAGTGAGGAGGTCCTGGAGAGTGATGAGGTGATTGCAGGGTGGAGGGTCAACAAATTGCACCGCCGCTCACCTCTCGTACGCACTATTGCTGAGCACGATTTTAGCTGGCCGCTGCCACCCACTGTCCGAGACAGACCATGGGATAGGGGGGTTCTCGAGTGCCCCAGGATTCAGAGAGAACTGAAACGGGTGTTCCTGGAGTTGTCTCCGCTGCCCTCTTCGCAGGAAGCCTTAGGTCGCAGGTTACGCTACTGGTGGCCAAGGCTGACCGTGGACAAGGTCTCTCTCTCTCTCTCTTTCTCTCTCTCTCTCTCTCTCTCTTTCTCTCTCCTTCCTGCGCCTGAGGATCATTGATGCCAAGCTCCCGTGCTTCATGGGGGTCACTTTGCTGAGATGTGTGTGCAATGACGTGAATGCGTTGCGTCGTTATCGTCAAGCAACACTTCCATGTAGATGCGGGTGCTCTGGTGATGATGAACTCCTTCACTATTTTGTGTGTCCCCATTTCGTTCCCGTTCTGAGGCGCCTCCTTCCCTCTCTTCCTGCCCGGTGGGGATACAGCGATCATCGAGCTTGCTGCGATCTCTGTTCTCTCCCTTTCGAGAATGCCGAAGCTATATTCGCTGCTGCTGCTGCCGATCTTTTGGTTTCGGGTCTTAACAAACTCCGCGCTCGTCAGTTGCAGTCCCAGCCGCTGGGGGTAAAGTTCCTTGAGGGTCGGCTCCGACTGTGCGCGAAACGCAGTGCCACTGTAAGGGCACTAGCGCAATGAGGGTGCGTCCAGCGGAAGACATCGGTGCGCCTCAGGGGCTGGGTCTCCTCCTCCTCCTCCTCCTCCTCCTCCTCCTCCTCCTCCTCCTTCTCTCCCCCTCCTCCTCCTCCTCCTCCTCCTCCTCCTCCTCCTCCTCCTCCTCCTCCTCCTCCTCCTCGCGGCTGCCATGGGAATTCAAGCGGGAGCTCGTGGCTCCCGGGGCGGTTGCGAAATTCGCAATTGTCGTCACTTTCGTGGGCCCCTGGAAAGTCCGGCGCAGTGGAGCCGAGACCTCTCGGCTCCCGGTGAAGCTGCGAAATGCACAACTGTCGCCAATTTCGTGTGCTCCTCGTCCCTTTGGAGCTCCTGCCTCCCCTTCTCTTCCTTTTCCCCATTATGTCCCTCCTTTTCCCTACCTTCCCTCCCCGTTTCCCCTCTCTCTCTCTGTCTCTTTTTCCTCCCCATCCTGCCCCTCACTCCTCACCCTCCCCGGTCCATCCCTCCTCCCTCCCTCCACCTTGGGGGTCGGGGGCTTCGCCAGCGACCGTGCCGGCGCCAAACAACCTCCCCCTCCCCCTTCCCCCCCCTCCCCCCCCACCACCCCCCTTCTCCGTCCCAGAGCCCGTTTTCTTTTCCCCGTTGGCCCCAGAAATCTGGCGACAATGGTTTCGAGACGCGGGGTCCGACATCTTAACCACATCCCCAATGCCGACTCGTCACCCCGCTTGGTTTTGTTGACGGCCCTGGGGCCCGAGACCGGCCAGGATGTGAGCGCCTCAAGGCGGAGCCGCCAGGGGTGGGGACACTTCAGGATTCGCGTTATACAGGGGGAATGTTTCAGGCGGTTGGCTTATTTCTGCCCCCCATAAGTTTTGTCAGTCACTCACTCATTCACTCACCTCCTTCCCTTTTTCCCCACTCGCACTCACTGATTTGCATTCGGACTTACTCACCAGCGCCTCGTCCCCAATCGGGCGCACTCATTACACTCAGACTCGCTCAGATTCAGATTCGGTCATATTCAGACTCACGTGTACTTATTCGTTCATATTCAGACCTTCAAATTCAGACTCACTCACACCGAAACCAACCTACACTCAGACTCATTCTCACTCAGACTCACCAGCAGACTCACTGATACGCAGATTACTTCGCACCTCGGCTCACTCGTGTTCATATTTGTAGTCATCAGGCTCACATTTAAGACTCACCCACAGTCGGACTCAGTCACACTCAGACACACTCGCACATAGACCCGCCCGCATCCAGACTCACTCATACTCATACCCACTCGTACTCACACGAATTATATCCAGACTCACTCACACTCAGGCTCGATCGTACCCAGGTCCACTGACACTCCGACTCGCTCACACTCAGATCACCCGCGCTCAGATTCACTCGCACTGCGGCTGACGCACATATAGTTGCCGCGATATTGCTGGCGTGGCACTTGGGCACCCCAAGTGCCAGCAGGCGCCGCGAGTAGCACGCCAGAGGGTGGGCGCAGCAACGCCGTGCGCGCTTGCTTGAGTTGCCGCGAGAGACAGGCAAGAGGAACCCCCCTTCGCTCTTCTAGTTGTTTTTTTTCTTTCGTCTCTCCTGAAAGATGACCTCGCGAGGAGGGGGACGTCACTGAAGTCGTTGTCGTCGTTGTCATTGCCGCGCCTGTCGTCTACGCGGACTCGCTCTCAACCCCAGATATGCGTAGGCAGAGTTCCTCAACGACACGTAACCGTATCAGATGCACGTATGGGGATCTCCGCGTCGAGCAATTAGTTTTCTCATATCAAAACCTGGATATATGCATATACACACATATACACATATTGAGTTGCCCATCGGAACTATGGCAAGCTTGCTTGCATGGCATCCCCCCCCTTCGTCGCCATCTCAACCAGCGCTGGGCCGAAGAGGCGTGCAAGCGAGTCCCGACTTGCGTGAAGTCCAGGTCTCCTTTCGGGTTTCGCCCCCTCTCCCCCCCCTCCATGCACACAAACTTGCCAGAGTCCAAACATAAGCTGCCTCCTGGGGGTCCGATCTTCGACTCTCCTCCTCCTCATCCTCCTCCTCCTCGTCCCCGTCCTCGATCCTCGACCCTTCCTCCTCGATCCTGGGCCTTTCCTCCTCGATCCTCGGCTTTTCCTCCTCGATCCTTGATCTTTCCTCCTCGGTCCTCGATCCTCCCTCCTCGATCCTCGACGCTTCCTGTTCGATCCTCGGCCCTGCTGTCTCCTCGGCCCTCGACCCTGTCTCCTTCTAGACTCGACTCTTCCTCCCTCGACTCCTCCTCGATCCCTCCATCCTCCGTCCTCGATCCCTCCTCCCCGGTCCGAAGGATTGCAAAAAAAACAAACAAACAAAAAACCCCCAAAAAACAGGATTGCAAAAAACAAAAAAAAAACGAACGAAGGATTGCAATCCTTCGATCCACCCCTCCGCCACGGGCCACGGGCCCTCGGCCGCCCCTCGGGCGCGCGGTGCGCGGCGCGCGGGGCCCCAGGCCCTCGAAGCTCCGCCGGGCGCTCACCGCCGCCCCGTGGCGCTCGGAGCTCGGGGGTCGCCGGCGGCGACGACGGGGCTCGGCATCGCTCGGGCGTGCGCATTTTTTTCCTTCGGCGAGGACCGTCGAGGAGCATCCTCGATCACCTGGCGAAGAAGCCACGCTTTTTTATATATTTTTTTACTGTTTTACTTTTTTTATTACTTTTTTTACAGCCGCAGGCGGAAGCGCCAGCGGCGGAAGGTCGCGAACGGGCCGCGGACGCGACTAAATTACCTAACGCGCGCAGGGCCGCGGATCAGGCGGCTCACGACAGCGTCCAGGGGGGCGAAGCCGATGCAATCCAGGTGGCGAAGAAGCCACGCACGAAGCCAACAAAAAGCACGGGGAATGGACGTCCGAGCGATGGCCAGAGGGGCAAATTGCCCGGGGGGGAAGCCGTATACGACGTGAGGCGTCCCAGAAAGGGCCTTGCCTTCGAGGATCCAAGGAGTTGCCTCCTTTTCCTCGGCGGGAGCAGCCGGCGGGAGCAAGAACCGGCCATGCGTAGCACCCCGCAGTTGCGGACAAGAGTGCGGGGGCGGGCAAGGGGTGGGTCGTTTGTGGGTCGTGGGTGGTTCACGGGTGGGTCGCGGGTGGGTTTCGGGCGGGTCGCGGGTGGGTCGCGGGTTGGTCGCGGGTGGGTCGCGGGCGGGTTGCCGGTGGGTCGCCGGTGGGTCGCGGGTGGGTCGCGGGTTGGTCGCGGGTGGGTCGCGGGCGGGTTGCCGGCCGGTCGCGGGCGGGTCTCGGGTGGGTCACGGGCGGGTCTCGTGTGGATCGCGAGCTGGGTCGCAGGTGGGACAACGACAACAACAAGTTGTATGCAGGGGCGCCGATGGTCCATGTCTTCGACGACTCTCCCCGGCGGGATACGTGTAATGCCCGCCCCTGGGCTATTCGCCTCTCTCGTCGGCTCCGAAAGGGGCAACGATAGGCAGGTAGGTCGAGGAAAGAAGCACGGGGACCATGACCAAGGTGTCTCCAGATCTTGTCGATGCCGATCTTGTTCATGGTCCATGTCGTCCTTTGCCGATTCGCGAGGATGCTCCAAGAATGGAGGCTGACCGAGATGGACGGTGACCAAGGTCGAGACGATGTTTCTGCCTTCAGCCTTGGTCAGTGTTCCCGTTTCCTTCCCATAGGCTCGGGGGTAACGCATCGACCCCCAATTGCCCAATGATCGCCGATGGAGGTTTGATAGCCTCACCCCGTACAGGAGGGTGCGGATTCGCTATCGGGGGCCTATCGCCGATACACTGGCAATGTATCGCCGAGTCCAGGTCGATGTGTCCCCCCCCTGAGCTGCCCCCCCCCAGTCGTTGCCGCCCAGGAGCGGGCCTGGCCGGCGCGGCAGTGGCCGAGCGCGGGCAGCTTCGAGGAGCTCGCGCGAGCCCAGGCCTCGAAGCCCCCCAGTCTTCCGGGCAGCAGAAGGGGGGAGAAGATACCGATGCCGCGGCTCGTCCTGGAGACCCTTCGTCGCCCGACTGGATTTGCCTCGAAGTCGTGGGCGGAGCGCACCACGGGAGCGGTCTGGAAAGTATAGTGGTATCGGTAGCTTCCTGTCCCCCCAGAGTGGTTGATTCCCCACCCAACAGGGTGAGGCTGTCAGACTTAATCGGGGAGCAAGGCCAGTATTGTTAGCTCCGGAATGATAAAGAGAGGGCCCCCCAGTCCTCTCTCAGGGGGGAACAGCGTTACCAGCCACGAAAGAGTTATCATCATTATTATTATTATTCCCCCCGCAGCGAAAGAGTTATTATGATTCCCCCCTCGGCGTTGCGACCCCCAGCCGGCAGCCGTGGACTCTTCCACAGGCGGGGCCAAGAAGGCACCGCCCCCGCATTAGAAACGCATGTAGCGGACGCACGAGAACGGGAGGAGAAGGGAGGGCCGGTCGTCCAGGCGGACGCTAGGCCGCTCAAGCTTGCATAGTTTGTGAGCCCGCATCAACCGGAGAGCCAGAACAGTATCAATGACACGCCGCCGTGGGGAACGCACCAGCGTGTCACTGTTGAAGGCACACGGGGCCTTCGGACGGAGACGCCGGAGCAACACGCGGAAGAGCTACCAGGCTACCAACAGCAGGGTGCCAACGATGTGCTGTCTCGCTCCCGACTCGAAGAGAAAAGGCTCTCGACACGTCGCGCACGCCCTGCATGCCACGGCCGCCAGGCCCCAAGGATTCCAGTGCTCCCTGGGTGTCCCGCTGCGCGTCTTCGAGGAATGACGACTGTCCAACCGTGGCCGCCAGGCCCCAGGGGCCCAGGTGCTCCCTGGATATCCTGCCTCGCGCTCTCGGGTGGGGATCGCTCAGAGCAGCATGTTTGGTGCAATGCAGGCGCTTCCCCCCACCGTCGCCTTCCAGGGGTAGCTTTTGTGCCCGGTCATCAAAGCCGTATCCAAGACACAAAGTTGGTGCCGGGGAAGGGGTCCGGAGCTCCGGGGTCGCTGACGGAAAAAACATCGTCGGAGATCTAGGTCGAGGTCTTCGCACGTTTTCGTCGTGTACCGGACGTCTTCCAGCCTCGGGGTACCTTCCAGCAGCTGTGCCTTCCCGAGGTCGTTGTGGGAGTGCCCAGATCGCTCCGAGCGGCCACCCCGAGCCCAGGCTTCCGACGTCTTGAAAATCAAGGCGTAGGTTTTCCGTTGCTTTCGGCCATTGAGAGCCCTCGCCAGGTGCCTGGACTGCCGACGAGTCAGGATGAGAAGCTGGCCCTGCGGAAAGGGTCAGGAATTCCGGGGAGTCCGTGTTGAACCAGAAAAGAGTCGGCTCGGGGAGGGTCGAATAACCAAAAGCGGCATGCGCAAACGCGAACCTTCAGAGGTTCGCGCGGACCTCCGACAGTTCATGTCTATGATTTGTGACGTTGTTTGCCTCTCTGGGCAGGATGCAACCCGTGAGAGGTCAAATCCAGCACCGGCATTGGTAATTTTCTCCGCGGTCGAAATCTGTCCCACTCCGGCATCACTCTTATCAATCAGGCTCGGTCCCAAAGCTTGATCGGCATGCGCTCGGGAGTTGTTGGATAGCGCATCGCTCCGCCAGCTCCAGCCCTCCGCGCCTCGGCCTCGGCTTATTAGGCTTGTTGGAACAAGCTGGAATGGACGATTGGCCAGGCTGGGCCCTGGGAGCAGCCTTGAGCTCCTGGGCAGATCGTGGTCGGGAAAGGGGGGAAGAGTAGAACGCAGTAAACGTACGATGCGTCATCGATGCTGCAGCGCACTCCCTCGTCCCGAGCGCCTTCCTGAAAAGTCTCGACGAACCTTTCGCTTCATCGCAACAAGTGTCCTCTTGAAAGTTTGGCGGCCTATCGGCCTGCCATTCTGGCGACATGTCCGATGTGAGAATGAGGTGGATTGCGTCATCCTAGTTGTGGAAGACGATCAGTGGAGAGGAGGCAGTTTGCCAAATAATTTCCACGTGTCTAGAAGATGTTTGCACTATGTATCAAACGTGCCAACACATGTCCTACACATGTTTCGTACATATTTGAACCTGCAGAATATTATATCTAACTCAAACTCAATGATAGAACGTATAGAATGCTTATTGTCTTGTCACCCAACACATTCTCACACATTGCAAGGGATTCGAAGAGGTATGCTCACAAAGTGGAACGATGTGTTTAACCAGGCCGCCGGTTTGAAAAACAGCCTGTCCCATCCGTGCAGTTGTTGCGGAAGTTTACCCATTCGGTCTTTCGAGTGAAGGAATTTAAAAGCCAGGGCCCCATTTTCTAAAACATGCCCTACATCTGAGAAGTTGGTTTCTGCGTTCAACCTTCAGGCCGTGAAGTTTGAAGAAGTCTCACGCGACAGCCCCATGTAGGAAACGACGCCCCCCCATATGTGTAGCTGTTGCAAGTTTTTAAATCGAATGTGGGCGGCGGAACGGCGAAAATCTGATTTTGAAAACCAGCCGCCCGCCACCCTTATACCGGTTGCAAGTTTTTGCAATGAATGCGCGCTAGCTCTTTTTTGAAAACCAGCAGTTTTCCATCCCTGTAGTTGGTCAGGTGTTAAGGGCGAAAGTACACGGCGCTCAGGCGTGAACCCCGCTTACCGCGCTCCATCCCTGTAGCTGATGCAAACCACTCGGACGAACGTGAGCGGCGCTATGGCGAGCGCCCAATTTCGATAACGACCCGCATCCATGCTTATACCATCTGCAAGCTTCTAAGACGAGTGTGTGCGGCGATTGGCGAGAGCATCACTTTGCGGACCACTCCTCTCCACCACGCTTGCAACAATTGAAAGCTTTTTCATGGGGGATCTGTGCGGCGCCCACTCTGGCAAACCACCGGCCTTCCACCTTTTTAGCTGGTACAGGGCGAGAGCCCCGTTCTGAGCCGCCACCCCCTCCCCATCGGGAGCCAATCAGGCTTCAGGGTCATAAGCGGCGAGGAGTGCTGAGGCGAGACGCTCGGCCCGCCGTTCCGACACGCTCATGGGCCATGTGGGTGCGATCAGGAGGAGTTGAGTTATCTACAAGGGAAAAGGACGGAGGAGGGAGGAGGAGGAGGAGGAGGAGGAGGAGGAAGAGGAGGAGGAGGCGGGCGCGGGGGGGAAGGTCCGCAAGGCGAGGAGGGAAGGCGTGGCGCGGGTGGCCCTTGCTCAGAACTTCCCGCCGGCGTCGCTCCCTGGCCTCCGCTCTCCCTGCCGGGCGCCGAGGAGTTCCTGGCCACTGCGCCCTCGCCGCAGGAGGGCCGCCGCCGCCAGCAGCGACCCCGTCGTTCCGTGCGGGTTTTCCGGATGGTTGTCGCCGCCATGGCCAGACGCAGCTCGGAAGCGCGGCCAGGGTGGGTCTTGATACGGGGGGGGGTGAGCGGATTCTACGCTGGGGGATGCTTCCGGACATCTGATGTCTCTACGACATCCAAGCGGCTAATTTTCCGCCACCTTGCCCATCGGCTGTTGAAAGTAGGCATCTCTGGACTTCCAGATCCCGATCTTTGGTGGCGACGTCCTATTTCAAGAGTCGGGCGGTCCTCCCTCGTCCCTCCTCCTCGGGGGTTGGGCGGAAATTCACATTGCCAATCTGTTTTCAGCACCTTCCCAGTTCATGTCTCCACCCATTTCTACCGACCGATGGGTGATTTGGGCCCCGAGCCCTGGGAGATCAACCAAGCGACTCAGGACGAAATGTGCCATACCCGGGGAGTTGTCGAGAGGGATTCGAGCATGTCGAGCCGCCAGAGCTCTGCGGTTGCTGCTCCCTGCCGGGGATGTTCGCTACTTTCGGGGTCCTGTTTCGACAGTTGGGGTGCTATCTGTGTTCGCTGGGGGTCGGTTTTTCATCCCTGGCCCCAGAGCAAGGAAACGGACGAAACCATTGAAAACAGAGCCGTCGCGGTTCGGTATTTTGCGTGTGTGTGTGTGTGTTTGTGTGTGTGTGTCTGTGTGTGTGTGTGCGGCGGTGACGGCAGCGCCACGCGCCCTGGGCACCCCGCCCAACTGAGCGGCCCCGGCCCGCTTCCTCCTCTCGGCCGTCGCCTTGTCGTCTTCCTCCCCCCCCCTCCTGCGTGGTGGCACAGTTCGCTCAACGTCTGCCCCGTTTCGCTTCTATCGCCAGCGCAGTGACTCTGCCTAGCCGCCGACGCAAAAGTGTGTGTGTGTGTTGTGTGTGTGGTTGTGCGTGTGTGTGTGTGTGCGTGTGTGGTGTGTGTGTGTGTGCTTGTTTGATTGTTTTTGTTTGTGTGATGTGTCGTGTCTGCTTGGGCCCCGTATTCTGCAAGCGCATCCATGACCGTGGAAGGGGGATGATCGAGTGCCAGTAGAGTGTTGGCAGGGAGGTGGAGGAGGAGGATGAGGATGAAGAGGAGGAGGAGGAGGAGGAGAACAGGATGTGCAGAAAGAAGCGGAGGTCGAGAAGAGGAACAGGAGGAGGCTCGAAACGAAGATGATGACAGGGTGGAATGTTGTCCCTACTTCCACTCCTCTGCTTTCGGTCCCCGTCGTAGTCTTCCTGCTGCTCCTCCTTTTGGTTGCTCTCCCCCCACCGCGCCGTTTCTATCATCTCTTTTCCGTCCCCCTCCTCCCCCTTCCTTTGGTCATTGCAGCAAGCAAGCGGCAATAAGCCCAGCATTGAAGCTAACACTGTTCTACAAGTGTGGGTCAGGCCTGTTGCTTCAGCGTTGACCCAGATAGGTGCAGATCAATACAGCAAGGCATACTTCTGGCTTCAAATCTTAGCCAAGCCAGGGTACGCTTTTGTCCTCGGAGTGTTCGGCCTCGCATATGGACTCGGGACGGGCCGGCCCAGTGTCGAGAGCTCAGTGGGGCCCCGCACCGGCGAGAGCCACGACCGTCGGAGGTCTGGAGCCCAAGGTGCTCCCACCGGCTCTCGGCGCCACTGCCCGGGCCCCCTCGCTGCCCGCCTCGGCCTCGTGACCGGGTGCCTCTGGAGGCCCTCCTCGGGCCTCCCCGGAGAAGCGGGGGCCACCACTAACTCTCGGTTGGGATCCTGTTGGGCTGCGCCGCGCGCCGCGCAGCACGGCTCTGTGGCTCGAGTGCCTCCGGTTGGGGTGCGCGACGCCTGCGCTGCTGCTGGCCCTCATCGCGCGCTGCTGTTACGGTCGGTCGGGCATTTCGGGAGGGCGTGTCGCACCACCGCTTCTGCCCCGCCGCGTTTCGGCGCGACGCGCTGTCCACTTCTCGGCCCCCCCGGCGTCGGCGTCCCGAGCCTTTCCGCGCCTCCCGCCCTGGGGAGCGGAGCGACAAGCCATCGCTTTGCAAGGCATAGCGCGTCGCGGGGGCCGCCGCGGCGACACGCCATCCGATAGTGCCCGGGCTTAGCTCGACGGGGACTCCATGGAAAAGCCCGGGCCACCTCGGGCCATGGTCACACCCCACCTCCGGCGTCGTGACTGTCTCGCAGCGTGGGCCCCCTCGGAGGCCTGGACCTCTTCCCCGGGCCAGCTTCTCTTCCGGAGTCGCCGAGGGAGTGTCTTGGAGGGTCCTGGGGCCAGGAAGTGTCGTCAAGGCGCCACGATCTGTTCCCACGCCGCATCAGGGCGTTCTGGAGCTCTCTGGGCATGGTCGCGGTGCCTGGTGCATCCTCCAGTCCCGCCAGCTTTCACCGCCGTGAAGCAAAGGGGGCCCCTCAGGGAAACGTGTCCCAAGGGTTTGGGGCAGGTTTGGGGCTCCCCTCTACGGGCCAAGGGGCCGTCACGGCTCAGGATGAAGAGCTGGTCCTCGGGGGAGAGGACCCGCTTCCCGCAGGACCCGATCCTTCTGTGCCAATGTTGTTGCAGCTTCCCGCTTGATCTTCGTCTGGACGCATCCTCACCCTGCCTTTTCCTCATTTGCTCTCGGTGCCCAGGAGGGGGAGCCGCTTATCCGCACGTTCTCCATCCACGCCGGCGGGGAGTGCGCGGAGCTCAAGTTGGAGGCCAGCCTGGACGACGACCAGGACGCGGGTGCCACCGCTCGGGAGGAGGAAAGAGCATCATCGAGGAGGCGAGAGGGAAGCAGCGTACACGCCCGAATCTCGATTGTAGTCCATCGCGAATTGGGGAGTTGGCAACCCTGCCGCAAGACCGTCCTCGCCCTGTGCTCTCGAGTCGCAAGGCGGGAGTGGAAGGCGATGCGAAAGGACAGACCCCGCGCGTGCGTGCACCCATCGGGACTTGCTGGCAGCGAAGCAACAAATAGGGCCAGTGATACGCCGCCGTTGGGAGCCCGTCGGCGTGTTGCCCTTCGTCTGTGGCCGAAGGCGTGGCGTGTCTTCAGCAGCAAGTGGCGTCTCGTTGATACTGATCCTGCCCCCCGAAGCTGCGCGGGCGCTTGGTCGCCGTCGGCGCGCTGGGGTCCCCATAACTCGAGTCTTGCGTCTTCCCGACGGTATGGTGAAAAAGCTGATTGTCTCGATCTTCTCGAGAGGTTGGATGTTTCGATTGGGCGAGGATCGGGTGTTGCTAGAAGTGTCCCTGGGCCAAGGTGTGCCCAGGATTTCCAGGGAGGCTTCCACGGCCTCCAGGGCACTCATCACGAGGCTGAAAGGGCCCCAGGGGCTCCACAGTGGCGCGACGAGCTGGAGACACCCTGGGCCAGAACTTCCAGAATAACACTCCCTATTTTCGGGCCGAGGGTTGTTCACTCTGCGCAAAGATAGGAGGAGGAGGAGGAGGAGGAGGAGGAGGAGGAGGAGGAGGAGGAGGAGGAGGAGGAGGAGGGCTGGCCCCCCTCTCCCCCCCGGCGCGCGGAGCCCGTCGGGGGCGACGCCGGAGGCCCCGCAATGGGAGGCCCGGCATCGATCCCGGAAGTCCGCGCGGAGCTTCGACGGGAAGCCACCGCATCCGGAAGTTGTGTTTGGTTTGCTGCTCTCGCTGCTGGCAGGCCAGCGCCGCAGCGTGTGACGTGCTCTTCCACGACGTGCCGCGGAGCCTTTCCCTCTCCTCGTCCTCCCCGTTCCCCCTCCCCCCTCTTCCACCCCCCCCTTCCTTTTCCTCTTCCCTGTCATTCTTCGGGCGCTCGTGTGGCGGCCCTCTTGAGCCATGGTGGGTTTGTCCTGGGGTCCTGTTGGGTCGTCTTGGTCGGGGGCCTCGTGGGGCAATCTTGGGCCGTCTCCGGGCCCTCTGGGACCCTGGGGCCGTCTTGGGCTCGTGTTAGCCGTCGAGGGGGTTTCTGCTGTGGTCAGTGGAGGAGGAAGATTAGAAGGAGGATTGGGAGGAGGAAGAGGAGGAGGAGGAGGAGGAGGAGGAGGAGGAGGACGAGGAGGAGGAGGAGGAGGAGGAGGAAGAGGAGGGGGAGGAGGAGGACTCTGGTCCAGCAGGGGGAGGACAGCCCTCCACCGCGTCGCTCGGGGCGGTGGCGCGTCGCTCGTCGGGCTCGCGCGGGCTGGCCCCGCGAGCGCGCGTCCGCGGGCCGGAGCTGGGTGGACGGCGCCTGGCCCTCCACAGGCAGCAGCGCTCCGAGTCTTAGGATTGTTTGCATACACGTTGTTCATTTCTAAGTATTCGAACATGTGTTGATTTTTTTTGGGGGCCAAGATCCTTTCATTTCTAATTGTTCTGTCCTGGGTCTCTTCCTGGCCACTAGGGGGCCAGGAACAGTTAGAAACGAGCACGATTGGAACTGAGCACGATTCGAACTGAACGACGTGTATGTGCGCCGGCCGAGATGTCGATCGATGGGGATCAGAAGATGCCATGGTCGCAATTTGGGGGGACCGCGCGGACCTGGGCCAGATCAGGGGCCCTGGATGGGCCCCCCCAAACCCCGTGTTCCCCGCTCCGCATCCGGCCCTGTAGGCAGCAACGCTCCGACGCTGGGTCTGTGCAGATCCACCGCCTGGGGAGCAAATGGGGCGTTACCGAAAGGGCCTCGCCTTCGAGGATCGAAGCAGTTCCCATCTCTTCCTTGGCGGCAGGCGGCGGAAGTAAAACGGAGGCGACTCCGCCGGCGGAAGCCCGCGGAAGTAAAAATCCGCCTCGCTAGAGATGGTAAGGTTTCTCTGTTCAGGATTCCCAGAACCCGCCACATATCCACCGCATGGGGAACACATGCAACAAAGCAGTGGCATTTGGTCCGAACACGCGGCCGCCCCAAGTTGCAAAGGGCCCATCAGTTTGTGAGGTCAAAGGCTGTCTATGCATACGTCGTCGTCGCCTTCCTCCTTCTCGTCTTCCTCCGTCTTCTTTGCCCGTACTGTGCTTTGTTCGATCTGCTTCACAAGTCGTGCAGTGCTCCGTTTTCTGCGCCACAGTCGTGACGCGTTGCGTTGTTTGGCCTCTCACTCTCGCTTATTTGCCCAAGCGCCGCGCCAAAGGCTGGCGCATGGCTTCTGTACCTGTACACCGCCTGGGAAATCCGTACTCCTCGACCTCGAGAGGCGGGGATGTGGGCATGGATATAGCATAGCGGCCAACCGCACCTGGCCCAAGAAGCCTCGGCGGCGTGCGCAAGGGAATGAGGAATGAGGCGAGGGGGAGGGGTGCGGTGCCGGAGAAGGCATGGTGCTTTTGGTGCGGGGCCTTGCACCCTCAACCTTTATCCTGGATGCTCGTTTTGACCTGAGAGGGGATTGAGCCTTCCAAAGAGGCCTCCAAGAATGCACGAGTGCTTTCAAGAACCCCAAGAACTCTTCAGAGTCCGCGCCCTCGCACAAGGCCGCCTCCCTCACGCCACCTCTTGTGTGTGCCGCTAGAGGAGATGCGCGTCCACTCGGGGGACGTCAGCCACACCTCACCGATTCTTGCCAGGCCCAGCATGTTGCCAGGATTGGTGTATGCGCCCTGCTGACTTGGCCGCGGAGGCATTTCTTGTGCAAATGCATGAGAGGCGTTCCGGAAAGGGCTTCGCCTTCGGGGGCTCGAAGGAGTTGACGTCTCTTCCCCGGCGGAAGGCCGGCGGACTCCAAACGAGGGCGGCTTCGCCAGCGGAAGCCGTTGGACGTATCGTGTGCCCTCCCAAGAGATGTTCGTTTGGTTGGGCTCAGGGCTTCCGGGATGGAGCACAAGATGCGTGTGCATATGGATCTGTGCGTGTACGCCAGTCGTTGCCCAGCCAGGGTCGCCGAGGTGGACAGTCGACGTCCTCCCATCCTCCGCCCGTGCTGGTCCCCCTTGCTGGGGAAGGGCCGGCCAGCCCAGGACACCGCCTACCCGAGCAGCACCGCCTCCTGCACGCCGCTCGCATCTCCGAGGCCGAGGCGCGCACAGCCTGTCGCGGGTACCGCCTCTGCGCGCGGGGCGCGAATGCGGACCTCATGCGTCGGCGGTAGTCGCCGCTATCAATGGGCTTGGTGTGCCTCGGAAGCGTCCAGGGCGTTTTTTCTCAGGTTTACCCACATTTACACATCTTGTGGGTCAAGGGCGGTGACCTGGAAACGATGCTATAGGCGGAGCCTGGAAACTATGAAACAACGTTTCCGCATGGTTCTTCGGAACGTACTTTAAAACGAATCGGCGCAAGCTGGAAACGGTAAAGAAACGCCCCCTGGAAAGTATACAAAACGGGCTGGTGAACATTGGGCACAACACGAGAGTGCCGATTATAATAGATACAGGGCCGCGCAGCGGTCATCGGCAGCAGCAGACAATAGCAGCAGGATGTAGCAGCAGGCAGTAGCAGCAGGCATCAGCAGCAGGTAGTAGCAGCACCAAGCAGCACAGGAGGAAGTTGGCAGCTGCAACAGAGGAGCCTTACCGTGCGTAACCTTTCCGTCGCTGTCCGACCCACCGGAGTGGGAGGTTGGAAACGCGTTGAAAACGCGCTGGAAACAGATTGGAGACGGTCTCAAACATGTAACTTCGACCCTTGGCCCAGGGGAGGCGGAACCATTGAGGATGTCGCCGCCGCCGCTACGGCGGCCGTTGCGACGCCGGACGGACAGCGACTGACAGGCAGCGCACGATGTGAGATCGACGCCTCCAAAAAGGGCTTCTCTGCTGCACCTGCTGCCCGCTGCAGCCGCCAACTCCCTGCTTGATCGTGTCTGCCGTTCTCTTGTTGCGCGTTGCTGCTTGCTGCTTGACGCTGCTGCTGCCTGCTGGTGCCTCGTTGCTGCTGGGTGATTGCCAATGCACGCCCAGAGAAAACAATAGTGCATACAAGAGAGCACGTTGCGAGGCAGACCTGCAAACGATGAAAAACGAAGCCGGGAACTACAAAAACGTTCCCTCGGAATGGTGTCGGAAGCGATGCTATCAAACAACGCATCATCACATAGACCTGGAACATATCAAACAACGGCAGTCGGAAACTAGTAAAAACGAGTTTCCAAATGAAGGCTGGAAGCTATTATTTTTGTTGCTGTTTTATGGTTATGCGTTGTTTGTTAAGCTTTGTTCTTCTTATGTAAAAAAAACGAGCACAACAGCACACAAACGCACTGGGCGTTTTCAAGGCACACTAAGTCAATTGGTGTTGTCACTCGCCATGAAGGAACTTGTCAAGGTTTGTTGTCGGCGGGGGGTCCGAGGTGGTCCAGCATTGGTTCCGGTCAGCAAGAGCGGGGGGCGAGGTTCGAGGTGCTGCATTCGACATGTGTTATGCCTTTTTCTGTGTCTGGGGACCGCTTTCGGAACCCAGGACCGTCAAAGAAGGCTCTGGGGTGAGAAACTGCAGACCCCCGGGGTGGTGTGGGGGCCGATTTCGAGCGGATTTGCCTTCATCCCCCTCTTTGACCGACCGGTCTTCCCGGGGCCCAGCCAGCTCAGACCCTCCGGCCGCCGCCAAGTCCCGGTCAACGGGTCTTGGATGGGAGCGAATTTGGAGTACGGTCGGACCGAGGTATAAGATCGAGATCGGCTCGGGGAGGGTACCCTGATGTTCTTCATGCTTGTTGGATGTTCTTGTGCATCCTTGGGGGTCACGATGTTCTGTGTCTTTTGGCCAGCGGAGGGTCTCCT